CGAATAATCATGGTAATAGTGATCATAATGATGACAAAAGCAATCATTATGTACGTGATGATGGGAACAACAAAAACCAATGAGAATGCAAATAATCGAATAATTAAAGTAGGTCAAGGATTCAGGAAAATTAAAGGTTGTATGACCAACCGAATATAGTAGTATGCATATAAAGAAGTTAAATTTTCAATTGGAAGGTGTTTTGTTAAGTCTTTCTTGATTAAGGGAAAGATAAACGCCCTATACATTTTACCTGTACTTAGCTTGAATTCATGTAGCTTCACGTGTGTGACTTACGAATTTGAAAGGTTCGGAGGTATGTGGATAAATAACCTTAAACTGTATGGGTCTTACCCACTGAATAACTACTGACGACAAAAACTGATAAGGTTGGGCTTCTTATTGATTTTATCTGTCCTTTGTTTGTTATACCTTCTCACATATCTTTATTGTTTATCAAAATATCCTCTTTCTTCCGTATACCTTGTCTTTTTACGCTGCTGCACAGTGTGACTAACTGAACTGTTACACACTGAAATGATATTCAATATTCATTGGTCCGTCTACTTATCAATTTTGCAATGGTCAACCAAGGTACATGAAACTCAACCGGTTGAGTGTATGTATGGTTTTGGCTATGAGACACTTACTGTGTAAGGGCATACGATACTCTCAAGTTACCCAGAGAGAAATAGGATGAGCGGGAGTGAAACCCAGGACTCATTCCACATCGATAAAGCACCATGAGTACAACCTATTTAGCTAACTTCCAGGAAGCAGTTGAATTCATAAATACACAGTGAGTAACTTTTCCCTATGGGATTGTGTCAGTTTGATTTAGATACTCGGTTTTTAACTGATGAGCTATGGTCCAAGGACTGCTGCACCTATTAAGGTCTGAACAGTCAGGTAATATCAATAGTCCACACGCAATAGGTTTGACTTATTGCTTACTGTACGAAAGTGTATATGCTTTCTGAGTGGATTTCAGAAATTATCTCTAATTCGTTATATCACTAGTAGCTTCAATATGCTGACAAAAAGTTACACCGCAACGACTGTTCTTGAATGACTTTAAAGGCCATCATAACTAATAAGACGACCAAATAGGCTTCTTTATTTTATAGAAGTCACTTTTCCAGCAGAAACAGAGGAACCTAATTGACTATTTCTGTCGTTGTCACAGAGGCCTCATATTCTCATATTCTTCAGACAGATGTACTTAATTAGCATGCTCGTAATATACAACCATTTGGCTAGGCAAAGAAAATACAAAATGGATAAATAGTTCAGTCCTTTCGCATATAGTAACTTTAAGAGAACCGTAGCAACGATTGACATAACCAAATAGGTTTCTCTGTTTCGACTTGAACGGCAGTTTTACCATAAAATGCAGAACTTTAATCGGTTACTTCTGTTGTTGTTGTTGTTGTTGTCATGGTTACCTTTAAAGTCACTCAACTTAGTAATTAATGGCCATTAAATCATATTGAGTAACTCTAAAGGCCACCTTAACAGCTGCTGACATAATCAACTAGAATTTTGTGTCTCATGAGAAAGAGCCATCCTAGAAGTGATTAAAACAATAGAATAGGTTTAATTATTATGATTGGAAAGGAGAATTTCCATCAAATAAAGAGGTTCAATTGGTTATTTCAGTAGTCACCACAGTGACAATTAATGACAATCGTCCAGCGCTTGCCTTCGATCAAAAGGGCACGATTATCTCTTATTTATAGAAGAGATTTTAGGAATTACCAAGATAAAACCTGATGTGTTTAAAGAAACTATGTGCAACCACTTTGTGCATCCCAGTCTACAATATAGAACTAACACATTCTTTCTGAACTTTCCTTCCACATTTTCATCACTCATCTGATTCCGTTCCTTAACTTTGTCTCTCTCATTTCATCGGTAAAAGTTTATTATTTTCATACTTTATCAGGTTCATGAACTTGTTTATTGATGCTGTAACACATCATATCGTATTCATATAATTTTTCAACTTACACAAATCCAAGCCGTTGTCACATAATGATTATTTGACCCTTAGTAAACAAACATACACACATGTTATATTGATCCTGGTGATCCAGCACACGCGTTCCGTCTTATCTGGGACTTATCAGCTGGATATATCTGCACATCAGTGAGTGGTTTTGTTCTCCTTGAGTCTCGAACCCAGTGCCCATCGTTTGAAATGCCAGACCAATATGTAGGTAGGTGTAAGATGGAATTATCTCTTAATTTTGTCTCCTCATCTCATGATTATTCTCTGTATATCGATTTCACTGCTCACCTAATACTAGACAATTCGATATTCCACCTTGAGACAAATTTACAACCATTCGATCCGATCTCCGTTTACTCATAATACTGACTTTTTCAATATTCCAAGGTAGTGCTTATCATGGACTGACATCAGTTGGAGAACCAGTGAGAACTTGGGAGCAACGGACAGCTGCTTGTTTCTCATATGAGACTCCTCAAAGATACACAACCACGAACTGCTGAGGGTGGAACACAGGAACTTTAGGTCTAGCGGCGAACGTGTTAATTGTCCAGCCAATGAGTCTGAGTATTTTCTCTGGTCAAACCTTGAGTGTGTCTGTTGTTACTACTGGGAATCATAGATATTATGTTTTGATCATATTTTCATAGCTTATTAAAGAACCAATACTAAACTGTCAAATGTCAATAAGACAGCCATTTTCCTGCTTTGTCTATCTATAAATACAATAAGCATACCGACTGTTTAACTGTCCAGAAGCCTATACGAGTTGAATGTGAAAACCAGATCTTTATGCACAGAAGAGATATTAGCCTTGACTGTCACAACTGAGTCACTACATTTTTTAAATCGGTTTTATAACCTACGGTGAACTATTATATATACTATTGTACCAGTGAACTGCTGTGAAAAGTCCCATACTAGGATGAAACGGCTGTTTTCGCTTCGAAATGTATGCTAAGTGAAGCTAATTATTGTGCATTATTTCATCTCTATGGTGCGTTGCGGACATAGAATTCATTTACATATAAACATGTCACAAATATATAAAAAGACTGGGAGCATAGGACTTGTCTTCTATTGCGCAAAGCCGAAGGGGAAATCGAGTGAATGTTTTGTAAATGAGATAACTTTTGAGACATTGCAATTGAGTCGCTCTAAAGACCACCCTAGAAACTGCTATGATAGCTAACTTGGTGTATTAGATTGATCAAAGAGTCATCTGTTCAACCAGAATAAAGAAATCCAATTGGTTAATTTGGTAGTTGGCATGGTGGCTTTTAAAGTCACTCTTTTTAAGAACCAACCTAGTAACTAACGTAATAAACAATTAGGTTTTTACATTATCTGAAAAGCTGTAATACATTTGAAATCTTATTTATCTTCCAGTCTCGATTATTAGATTGTCTCACCTCTTCGTTTTCAAACTCTACCGTTTGTCAGTTGTCTTTTATTACTAAATATAAGTGCGTCCTATGTACTTGCCTGCTCACGTTTTTCTCTTCCTCTCCCCCCCCCCACCCCAGATTGTCGTGGTCACCATTAAACTCACACTGCTCTATGTACCTTCCTGCAACAACGTACCTATCTATAGGCTACACGAAAACCTATCAACAGATGGTAATTACAAAACTACCTTTCCAACCAAAATAAAAGAAAAACCTAATTGGTTATTTTAGTTGCTGCTATGATGGCCTTTAGAGTCAATCGTCGCAATTATCTACGGAATTAGTCACATGAGAAGTCAGTGTTGAAAATGAATTAGAAAGTCATATGATTCAGATAACTATCAATAGGCTGAGTTGTTATAACGCTTAAACTGTTCTCATTATTCTGCCATACCGTTCTACTTGTCCAGATATGTTACTGTTGTCTGTGTTCACCGATTTGTTAACATTTCAATCAAAATCACTTCATTTATTATTCAAATGCATACATTTATAAAAAGTATGGTTTTTACACCTGAAAACAATTTTTGAAACTTAGGGAACAGTAATTTGTTGCTACCATATTCATGCGTATACGGGGATTTAGAAGTTTGATAAATATCACAGTGCATTCACTCACTCAGTTAAAATCCAATAGTTCACATTTCTCCAATTTTATCAACTTGTCACAGTGGGTATTCGTTCTCAAACCCAAATAACAAGTCAGTGATGATTGACGATTTGTTTCAAGATGGATTATTCAAAGTTCTAGTGACATGTTAGTCAAGTCAAATGTGTGGACAGAAACTTGTCGATGAGGCTGCATGATGGGGATCAGCCTACACTGGGAATAAACTGAAGTAAGAAGTACCAAGCATTAGATTCTGACTCAGAGATCAATACAATATGCGAATGTCCTAGATACAGAAAGTATGCATTGTTAGGAAATCCTACACTAGAAAGGAACATGTTTTTTGCGTGCCCCATTTTCAGTGGTTCTTCACCTGTTTTTAGTTTGTGATGCAAACCACCTTTGAACATTTATGTGTTTATAGAGACGTTATCAGGAATGATAACAAAGGCCACCTTATTTACAATTGAAATGAACAATAAGACTTCTCTACGTTGTGAAAATATGTCTTTCCAGCTAAAATGAAGAAAAATAATTGGTTATTTAAGCTGTTGCTAAGATGGACTTTAAAGCCATTAGTTATTCAGTATTACTAAGCGTTGCTTTAAATATAAGCGAAAATATTATTACAGTTCTAGTTCATTGAAAGAATCAATTAAAAATGGTACTTTTTTAATTCAACATTTCAAAGAACCACTAGGAATGCAGTACTTATACATGTGATCTTACACTGTTAGAAGTAATTATCAAGATACCTAGTACCTAAACTTCACTTTTTTCACCAGTCATTAGCAAATTCTATCTGTAAATTCAACCAATCCCGTAAGCCAGTGACCACTAAGTTATTCTGATATATGCTTCTTGGCATAAGAGAGGTAAAATTATAGATATGTTACTCCATACAGTGAAACAAATTAGCAGAATAACTCACCAAAAATCATGAAAATCAAAATTGATGTAAGCTAAACGTTCATTCTTTGATAGTAAGATATGACGTACGAATGCATCAGTCAATATAGTTTCACGATGTTTACGCCCAGAACTCAACAAGTTAACAATAAGTATACGTTCATATTCTTGGAAGTGTTTTGACCAATACTTATTGAACGCTTCTTGATTTTCTTCTTGGGCTGTTAAAAAGCAATTTTAAAGGTAGTTAGATGAAACTAAGGTGATTAACATTATAGGCAAACATTAGATAGAAAAATCGGGTCCACTGACTGAAAGACCACAGGTTTGTTTTTAAGGGAAGCTATGAGTTAGTGGCAGTGTTGTGTTCTTTACGTTAGACGATTTGACCGTGAATTTTTCCTTATATTTCTCGAAAGCATCGTCAACACGAATTTCAGTAAAAAGCAAGCTATGAGAACCTCTTCATAAAACATTTTGGCAACTTGTCTTGATGACATGGGAAGTTCTTATACCGATAACAGGTGAAGTGTTCTCGTTGCATTTCATAGCGTATCTTTTCCAATATCAACAGATGTGAACAAATGTATGCATGAATTCAATAGGAACAATGTGGAAAGTTTGGATAAAGAAAACAAAATATAAAGTTCTTAAACATCCAACTTTCAGTGTTATAATGGACCAAATATAAGTTTTGACGGGGTATATTTTTGTCAGTTATTGTATTTACCTTGAAAAAAACTTACTGAATAATTATTATGTGGCATTATGGTGGTTTGATGTCCTTCGAAGTTTGATATTTTGTCATGGACGTTCTATTTATTACCAGGCTTGTTGACATCTTCAGCACTAAATTCTTTAGGAGAGTTGGAAAGTACTCCATTAAATAACTGTACACCGTGTCCCTTATTTCCATAGCCTGAATGTCTCTGTTTTAGGCATTTTGTTCAAGTATATGAACACACTGACTGTGAGTCAGAAAAAAGAACTGTTGGTAAAAGGGTTGGGATTATCTCATCTTGTGTTCAGTCCAGTAGGTTAGCCGTAAGTGTGCAGAAAGGATAATCAAACAATCAGTGTATACAAAAGGACGACTTTAAAGACCACCCTAGCAACGATAGAAATAACCAATTAGGTTTCTTCATTTAGGCTGGATAGAGAGATTTTCATAAAATATATAAATCTGATTACTTGTATGAGTTGTTGTTAGGGTGGCCTTTAAAGTCATTCATAGAAAATCATAATCACGTGAGTGCTGCAATAAAATTCTAGTATTATCAACATCAAAAAAGGTTTAGCAGTTAACTGCCATTAATAACATTCATGTCAATCAAAAATTAATAAGTACATTGGAGTAGACCAAAATTACAAACTATTAAAAACTACGAGAAACGACAACATGGTCAAGGTTCACATCATCAGAATGGATAATAGATACATATAAGCGTAAACAGTGGTAATACAATTAAAGGCTTCCAGACAAAATCATCCAATTCACAGGAGACATTACAACTAAATTTGTCTTCATGAGCTAAAAATTTATTGAGGCATTCTGTTATTTACAAACTCAAGAGCAGTTCTTAACAAAGCGGTCACAAACATACATATATGCGCTCAATTTATTCTTGAGTATGTCTGATTCATATGAAGAATGCAATTTTAAAAAATAATTATCGAAAGAAAAAACTGAAACCAGTGTACAAAAGGGTCTAAATACCTACAATAGAAAGCCCATTGAACCATTCAAAACAACATAAAGTAACTAAAGGAAGAAAAATCGCTTTCTGACAAATCATTTTCAACAGCTGTACAATCGTATTTATATTAACGATAAGTAAGTCCACTGTTGACTAGTTAGTCTTTGCTAGGTCATCATCTCCAAGTTGCAGGTGGGCACAAATATCTAGTGACGGAATTGGATGCTCACGCTATATAGCGAAATGACAGAAGTAGGAAAATATGAACCACTGGATTCCGACTCAGTGGCTCAATAGCAACATGCTAGCCGTGAAACTTGGAGATCCTAGGCTCGACTCCTGAAGGAGTCATAGGTTCGCATAGTTGAGGAGTCCCATACTAGGGTAAAACAGTTGTCCAGTGCCCCCAGGTTTTCAGTGATCCTTCAACCGAGGTTCAAAGAGGAAACAGAATTAGAAAGAGATTGCCTAATCATGGAGTCAGTAAAGAAAAAAAAAGTAGCCGATTACGATGGTAACTACTAAGTTAAGAAAAGTAATTAATGATCGGGGTAAATATTACGAGAATATAATGAGAAGTTGGAACTAAGACATATATATGTAGAAAAGTAAGCCATAAGGTAAGAACAGTAACAGTAACCAGTCAATAAGAGTAAGATGAATATTGAAGCAATGAAGGATATGAAAGAAAAATAGTGGCTATAGTAAAATAAAAGATTGGTCATATGCCTTTTGTACCCAGGGTTCGGGCTTTGATTGCTAGATTACCAACGCCCCTTCTATACGAACCCAACTTCTTTCGGGTCGTTCTGTTTGATATTGTGTAGAATTTCGAAAGAAGTTTTTGGGGAAGTGACATGATCATATTTTACTAAGCCGTTCAAGAAGAGGCTGTTGCTTGACATGTATCCTCCTATGAGCAGTCAGGGAAGATAGTGCCTAGAAATGCTTTTGGAAAGATCGACTGATTATTGTTATTGTTCTCACCTTATATGTGCCAGTTCCAATTTGCCACTAAAATGTCGTAATATTTTACTCCGATCATGAATCACAATCATGATCGGCTGCATATTTTCTTCTTATAAGCCCTATGACTAGGCAATCTTCTTCGAATACTAGAAACGAATGGCTGTTTCCTCCTTGAACATGCCTTTTTCAAGGTGATATTCATTACGAGTTGACATTAATTGGAAAACCACTAAAGACCTGGGATCACTGGAAAGCTGGTCCATCCTAGTATGCGGCTCCTCAGCAGTGTATACCTGTCATCAGACTGGTATTTGAACCCTGAGCCTTCAAGGTTTCGAGGCGAGCAAGTTGTCACTGACCCACCGGGTCGGAATTCAATGGTCCACACTTTGCTACTTCTGTCAACTCGCGATGTAGGGCGACTTTCATCCAACGCCGTCGTTGAGTATTTGCATTCACTTGCAACTTGGTGATATAGAGAGACTAATCAATAATACAAATAAATATAAATGTAAGGACCATAGTACAGTTATTGTGACTTGTAGAAAAGCGAATTTTCTTCGCTAAATTAGTTTGTACTAATCTAGTGAAATATTTTTCACCTCTTAGTGACTTCCCTCCTAACTGAATAATCGTTTTAGCCTTCCAGAGCTTAAGTCTAAGGGAATAAATAGCATGGGATAAATGACAATACTTCTCTGATCAAATCCATAATACTTAACGGTTCAATGAAATAAAACTAGAGATAAGAATGAATGCAAATAACAGACAGAGAATGAGTAAAATTTAAACAAGATGTTGAGACATCCTATCATGAGAGGTGAACGACTCCCTTGGGAACAACAAAAAAGAGGTCTAGAGAAGATATTTCATTTTTTCTTCATTTTTTCATCTTCAAGTCGAAGATATATACATAAATACGATATCTGTGGAGGATGTAGATTTTAAGAGGAAATGTAAACAGTTGATGTCATTAATAACAATAAAGAACGATAAACGACAGCACTAATATTGGTAGTAATGATTCACGTCTTAGGAGTTAAATGACACTAAAAAGGAGTTAAGTATAAAAACTAATATGTACTGGGTGATGACTGAAGGTGAGATGGAAGTCCGGCAGCGGTTCAGATTTTCATCTCACCAGTATAAAATATTAGTCTGTAAACTAGGGCTATCTCAGGTAGTCAAATGATAATGAAAGCTAATATAGTTTTATCTAGTACCAGTTATCCGAGCATTCCGTTGACTTCTTGAAATTCATTCAATCAGATTACAGTTTCAAACAAAAGTTTAGTGTAAGATGTGAAAGTAGGCCTCAACATTACTTATAGTAGTGACAGCTGCAAGTAGCATAACGAAGGTAAGTGTCATAAGAAGATTGCAGGTTTTTTTTGAAATCCATTAGTGAAAATTGGTGTATCTCAATGGGATTAGAAGTGATCTCGAATGATAAATACCGAAAGTCCAACATCGTATCTTTGAGCATATTAATTACTGTTGTAGTAAAATAACTAGGGGGATTCCGTTCAAGCTTAGTAAAGAACGTCACAACAAATATCGAAGTGGAAATAAACTTCAACTAGTAATGAACTGAAACAGTGGACGTGGATACAGTGAAACATATTTTTAAACGAAGGGGCACATTATATTCCTTCTTTTTCTCCAGATTTACGAAAAACAAGATAGATAATATAGATCTGATTGATGGTATGTGAAGACTGACTGATTTCATGGAGACTTTTATCAAGAACTGCTATTAGTTGGCAGGACATGTAGAAGCTCTGGGTACTAGATAGGGAAACCAGAAACACTGGATTCCATGTAAGTAGTCGAATGGGAATATCCTTGCGGCGAGATCTGATAGTCCTAGACTCAGCCTTTTGTGGATTTTTAGACGCCTGCAGTTGAGAAGTTCCAAACTACGATGAAACAGCCGTTTAGTGCTCTCAAATTTCTAGTGGTCCTTGATCTAATATCGATCCACGGTGAAAAATAATTTGAAACATTTAACATTATTTGAGGAAATCAACATTTCACAATTGAAACAGTATTTAGAAAAAGAAAAGCGATTTTATGTTCGCGAGCCCAAAAACTCAATTATATTAACTTATTTTAGCTATCCGAAAAGTATAAATATATTTCGACACATCGAAATAAATGCATTCAGTTAGGAAGTAAAATTTATTTAACTTATGACCAAAATCGGAGATTTCCAAAGTAAAAGCGCTTCTTCAGCTTAGGTTATGCATAGAAAACATTTCAACATCGAACTAGGGAATTAAAGCAGCAGCCTAACATAACAAATATTTATGTGACAGACATACTCAAGAATACAGTTACTTATATGTTATACAAAATACACTTTCGATATCATGGTTTATTCATTATTTGGTGATTTATTTCATCACGTGAGGTTATGAGGTACTTAGTTCAGTTTTCGGTGGTGGAAATAAATGATCCCTTCATCATATAATGCAGTCTTACAGGAGGTCAATAGCGGTACAAATACCTGAATGGTAACGTCGTTGATTACAAAACTGGATGATGACGGTTCG